GTTTTGGGATTTGCTTCCACATGGGCAGATTAGATCAAACTGACTTCGTTGGCTAAGTCCCTCAAGTCTAGTGCTGTGCCCCAAAGTGTTATAAATACAACCGTCATCACACAGAGAGTGCGAGCTCCTCAGCTGGTATACACTGGTCTCACTCCAGTGAAGACAGTGCTCCACTGAAACGAGAGATTCGGATTTAAACCAGCTGAGGACCTGATCAAACCCTTAATTGGTAGACCCTGGTTGAAATGAAAAATTGACTGACTTCATCATCAGAGGCTCCTAGATTTTTGTTGTTTAAGGAATTGCTTCAAAACCAGGAGCCCCCTCCTTATCCTTTAAACATGAGAGCACGTCTTACTCACACCACTTTCTGGAGCCAGGTATAACATCTGCAAACTCCCCATGAACAGCTCAGCCACAATACCCCAGCTATTCTAGTCCAGGGCACAAAAATGGTCTCCATGAGGACAAACTCCAAATTGAGGAGTTTGATCCCGGAGTCAGGACCTAAATAGCTTTGAGACTCATTCCCCACTCCGTTACTACAGTTCTACTTCGCTGTCCTGCCCCTGAAGGTGGAACAGCAGAGTAATGAAACTGGCATAAACAACTGGGAAGGGAAATCAGGCCCTGTCAATTCAAGTAAGATGTTTCTTCCACTCAAATGCCATTTCCAGAAAGTCACTTTCCATTAAAACAGCTGCCACCTGAAGCTTAAAACAAAACAAAACAAAAAAACAAACACATACACACACAAACAAAAAAACAACGTTCCCCCCCTACCACACACACACACACTTAACTTTTCACACAACCAAGAACTTCTCACTGTACCAGCCTCAATTCATGATTCTTTCCTTTGAGGCCCAAATGTTTCATTGCCTAATCTATTGTCCTGCACCTGAATTTCCACAGAACCATGCTACTTACATCAATCTACTGCAGACCTGCGTTCGCTTCCACGCTGAGAGTATAAAATGGATCCCAATTTATCAGCCACCCAGCCAAGTTGATTATGAGAGCATGTACAAATTTAGCTGAAGATGAATGCTAGTTGAAAGACAGACAGGCAAAAGCAACATGTGAACAGAGGTTCTCTCCCTGCTGATTAGTGTCGAAAAATGACGCACTTCATTCTATAGCAATGTATCAGCCAGGTGGCCCTGGAGCTATACAGGGGCTACAATTGCAATAAGTTGACTGGAAGAGAGGTTTAACAGTGCACCGCTTCCATTATAGTCCAGAGAGAGACCACATTTTCAGGGATTTACACAAAGGAGAATTTAACCTTATCCCAATACTGACCATGTCATGATACCTTGCAGTGTTGTCCTAGTCCTATAATGTAATACCACAGTGAGCTGGTAAGATAAGTGTTTGTTTCATTCTGTAGCACTGTAGGTGTCTAGTACTTGTGTTAGTGGCAAACAGTCACCCCCTGGCTTTTCAGACACAGGAGACTAAGTCTGGAAATTAGCCCCCCAGCCTCAATCCTTCAGTAGTGAAGAACTTCAGAGAGCAGATCTGAGTTTGAGAGGCATTGAAAGGGCCCAATCGGCATACCTGTCCCCTGGGAACACCTACAGAAGGCAACAGGGGGATATGCATGGGGGACTTGCAAACAAAGTCTTACTAGTTGTTTCACCCTGTAGAAGGGTTGACTCACCATGGGTGCGCCCCCTCATGGCAGGGCACGGTGTAGCAGCCCTTTCTGCCCTCATTCCCGCTGCCAACAGTCACTCTGGTGGTCTCTCTTCTTGCCGCTCAGCCCTCCAGCCAGGTCGGGTTTTAATCCCACGCTTTCCAGGGTAACGGAGCATTCAACTAGTAATCCTGTGTCAGGTCTGTGGCCCCTGACTCTGGGCCCAGTGGTCCTTACACCTTTCTCTCCAGGCTCTGAGTTGTCCTTATCCCCTTACATCAGGGGCTCCATATTGCCTTCCCCCAGTGGCTGGTGGGGAAACCCAGGCCCCCCCTCTCTGCTGGGTTCTAGACCAGGGACTCTAGGACAAGCAGCCATGGTCTGCTCGGTCAGACACCTTGCCCCTTCCTCCCTAGGCGCCTTCCTACCATTAGTCTTTCCTGAGGATTTTCCCCCAGCCCCTTCCTGGGCTTTGTGTAACAAACAACACCGCCTAGGGTCTCTCTCCAGAGGGCCAGTTCCTGCTCCTTCAATCAGGGTCAGCCACAGGAGCGGCTCCCATCCTGTGTCTTCTGGATAACTCCACTTATCCAGTGCCCAGAGAGTCACTGCAGAGCTCTTCCCGCTCTTCCTACAGCCCCAAACTCCAGTCCAAATGCCCCTGAGGCTTTCCCCTCACTGCCTCCGGCTTCCCCCTGGCTCAGAGCTCTCCAGCTCTAGCTTCTCTCTCTGCCTTTAGTCCAGGAGAGGAAACTCCCAGCTAGGTGTCTCCTCCCTGCCTTCTTTCACTGCCCCGTGCTGCTTTCTTTATGGAGAGCCAGCTGGGTTCGATCCCCCATTAAGCCTGGCCCACCCTCCAGGTGCAGCCAGGTTGCATAACGGGCCTCTCAGGCCCAGATTAACCCTTCCATTCCCTCTGTGGACTACGCACTCATTAAAATGAACCAATAAACAGGGCTTCACTTAGTGACTATTCACTGCCCAACCTTCCCAGAATCAGGGCTGAACGTGTCATTTCTAAAGGGCCCAGGGGCTCCCATCAGTACTTTGGAGGCGATGCTCTGCTCTGCTCCCCTTACACCACTTGGGCTGTGCAATGGGGAATGGAAACCACCCCCAAGCCCTTGCTTGGGTCCCGCAGTGGGTTGGTGGGGAATGTAGAACCCCAGTGGGTGTAACTCAGTGGTTCCCAAACTATTCAGGGTCATGCCCCACTTACTTCTCCCCCCTGGAACCGGGGCCAGGAGCAGGGCTGAGGCTTGGGGGAGGAACATGGATGGGGTAAGAGGGCTGCAGCTGGGGGTGGGGCTGGGAGTAGGGACGGAGCCAGGGGCCAAGGCTGGGGGCAGGGCCGGCTCCAGTCACCAGCAGAGGAAGCTCATGCCTGGGGTGGCACATGCTAAGGGGCAGCATTCCGGCCATTCTGCCATTCTTGGGGTGGCACAGTCACAGTCCGGGCAGACTGGTAGAGCCGGCCCTGGCTGGGGGTGGGACCAGCGGCAGGTGTGGAGCAGCGGCCAGGACACAGTCATCAGGGGCTCAGGCTGGGGACGGGGCTGGGGGGCTGAGCCACAGCCAGGATGTGGTCAGGAGTGGGGCTGGGGGTGGGGCCACAGCCAGGATGTGGTCAGGGGCTGGGGCCACAGCCAGGATGTGGTCAGGGGCGGGGGACACAGTCAGAGGTTGGGGGCGGGGCCAGGCATACTGCTGGGAGCTAGGGCAGCAGCTGGAGGTGGGGTTGGTGCAGAACTGGCCTCCCTCCTGACCTGCCGATAGTCCAGGCCCTGTTGTGCCCCCCCAAATGTTTCTCACTGCTCCCCTCAGGGGATGCGCCCCACAGTTTGGAGACCTCTGGTGTAACTGATTCACACACTTCAGTTTTAAAGTCTCACGGTGCAGCCCAGGGAACCCAGTTTCAATTTGTAATCAAATACAAATTGTTATTAACCTAGGCACATTTAAGGCCATGATGTCCAGCCCAAGGGACACAAGTAGCCCTGATCCACAATTTGGTCACATCTGATTTAGACCGTCAGCAACCTCATCTCTTAATTTTTCTTTGATTCTGCAAAAGGAATAAGAGTTAATGTTTTGGGTTTTTGACATTGCAAAACTATTAATCATCCAGGTTAGTTCTTCTCTTTATTATTGCTCACGCCACAGCATGTATTCAGGCAGTCAGGTTAGGAGAATATAGAGAACGGTAAACTCTATTCCAGCAGTAATACAGCACCCCCTGACTTCAAGTGGTTTCCATCACATACAAGGTTTAGAGTTTGGTTCAATGGCTCTCAGCACCCCCACTACACAAATTGTTCCAGCGCCCCTGCTGTTATTAGTAAATAAGGCTCAGATCCTAAGCATATGTGTAGTCCAGTTGACTTCAGCAAGATTACTCATGTGCTTTGAAGTTACTCATAAGCAAGCAGTTCCAGGGTTGGGGTCAGGGCCGGCTCTGGGTTTTTTGCCGCCCTAGGCAAAAAAGCCACCTGCCGCTCCCCT